ATGCCCAATAAAACTTGAAAATTTAATACAAGGTTTCACGTAAGTCATTCTTATTGTAGTTTAAAAAAAATCAAAAACCGTTAGTCACAATTTTTTTTATAAGCTTTTATAGTTCAAACTTTTATGAAATATGTCAAAATCGTGAAAATTTGCAAGTAATTTTGTAGTTGAAAAACCATAAAATGTTTTGTGTTTATATCTAAGATTAAAAAACTCAACACTAAGTTTTCCATAAGACTTTTTAATTTGACTATTTATTTAATTATATGCTTTCGAGACACACCATCTCACAATCGTTTTCGTATTCAATCCTTAAATTCAATTTAACACTTTAGTTACAATCACATACTTGAAAGTTATTGTGCAGGAGTACAACATCTACTTTTCCACCTTTTTAAATAAAAAAACTACATATTAATTATTGAATAATTAATTTGTTGGTATTTGTTAACATATTTTTTTATCTTAATTGATGTTTTCCATGTATCACAATATTGGTGTATTACTATTTTTTATTAGTTACACAGGTATAAATAATCACTAGATGATTTTAATTTAAATATTTTCAGGTGATACAATGCCACCTCAAATACCAAGTTTAGTTTCTCTTAGACAGGCTAAGCATAGAGTAGTATACTCCTTAAGACATCATAAAGATCCTACAAATGCCCTAGGTATTATGAAGCAGATTCATAAATATGATGGTGCTATTAGGAATATAGGACTTGATAAGTTTTTTGTGCATTTTTGGACAAATCTTCAACTGAAAATATATAAAGAACAATATACAAAATGTGCTGTGCCGATAATTAGTTTTTGACGCAACATGGGGTGTATGTAAGAAGATAAAAAATATGGAAATAATTATAGTAGTTCTATTTTTCTGTATGAAGGAGTAATGAAAGTAATAGATCAAAGTTTTACAGTTATATCAATGTTTTCCGAACAGCACGATACTATATCAATTAGTTTATGGCTTAAAAAATGGCTCCAATGTGGATTAAAACCCCCGAAAAGTTTCAATAACTGACCAATCTTTAGCTTTAATGTCGGCTACTGTACAAGCATTCACACAATACGATTCTTTGGAAAAATACTTATAAATATGTTTTTTGTTATGTCGTGGTGATAAAGATTTCGAAATATCGACAGTTTTATAAGAAATGATGTTAATCATTTTGTACATTTGATATCACAGTTGAAACCACTAAAAAACTCCCGTTATCAGCGTACTAAACAGCTATTTGTTACATCTATAACACTTTTAATAACTTGTAATTCAATGAAAAATGTAGAGCAAATATTAGAAGCTATATTCATAGTTACTATGAGCAAAGATGATGGACAAATCGTATCAAATATTGATAGACTAAAATAAGATACCTAATGTAGTAAAAGTAAAAAATTCCTGCAGCCCCTAATAAGTAGCAATAGCGTGAATGTAGATTCGCTCATAAATGAATCAAAAAACAGCAATGAAGAACAGACATTAGAATTTGATTCTTTGGATTTGTTTGACGCATCGAATTCATTCAAGGACTGGTCGAAGTAATTGGCTTTAAAATGCGAAGAGAAAATTTGTGACGTTGAGGGTGAATTTGATAACGCCCAATTTGTTCCAGAAATTGTCCCAATTATTATTAACACCATGAAGCTATTTCCTTGTTGGTCCAATATAATGATAAATGTATTCAGATATGATGACAATATTGCATCGAGTAGCAGAGTAGAAAGCAATTTTAATAACATAAAAAATAGAGTGTTCAAAAATGATAATTTGCCGATGAGAGTGGACAATTTTGTTGAATGGTTGGTAGAGTTCTACAGAGGTAACCATCTTATTCTACAGTCTAAGGAAGACGGAAAACACGCTGAATCTCCTATGAATAAAGATTGTTCAGGACCAATTTGTAGCCCTATATCATCCGATGAAGTTTGTGAAAAAGTTAACAAAAATATTGTTGAAAATATATAACAACAATATATTGCCTGCAAAAATGGAGATTTTCCAACAAGTCTTCATCGTGTTAGCAACTGTAATAAAGCAGTTCATTTGTTTGAGTGTTCAGTAGAAGATCCTATAAGTGAAGAAGGTTGTAGAGAAAAAAGAATTTGTTAGGCGTGTACTAAAATAGACGAATTAGAAACAGAAAAAAATTCAATTGAAATTTGGAGAAAATAAACGAAGTATGTCGTCATCAAATCCACGTTCATTAAGTCATACTTGGTGAAATAGCCTGGATTTGAACAAATAGATTTCAATCACACAAAAACATTTAATGAAATAACCTTACTCAGAAATGGTTCTTGTTTTCAAAACAAACCTAACTAACAATACTTGTTCAGCAGATTCTTTGTTATCAATTTTAGCGGTGTCTGTTGCAGAAAGCAATAATAATAAAAGGTATTTAACAAAAGGAAAAAATAATAATAATGTAGCTGATTTTGTAAAAAAATGTTCGGAAACAGACCATCTAAAGTAGCGGATCCTAAACTTTTTCAGTCTCGGAGCCTTTTTTTAGGGAAAAGTTTCTCGTGGAGCCCCAAGAAATATTTAACGCTCATTTTGCATTTGCCTGTGTTCCATGAAGCATAATTAATACGAACTGTGTACATACGGACAATAAAGGAAACAATAGTTTTAAAAGAACTGGAGAAAATATTGTTTATTATTGAAATCTACAAAATTAGAATAAAACTAGTTAAAAATATTTAAAAATAATACAACGTTACATGTATATTGTATACATCTTGATGAGTGAGTCTTAATCTGAATAATGGCCTGCTTTTTACTACTGAGTTTGTTGATGTCCGGTATCAAAGAAGTCAGTTGAAGACGCATATCGTTTTCTGCATCCAAACGTGATCGCTATTTGGTTTTTGTAGCTGAATACCTCGAAAAAGCGGTTTCACAAAGATACGTAGTACCAAAAGGCAGTAAAAGCAGTTTAGCTTTTGAACTTTATATTAAATGATCTTCTCCTAACTGGGCCCAAAATTCAGATATTGGTTTGCTTTTAAATGATGTCTGATAGTAGCTCTCCGATACCATATCAATAAGAACCTCGTATTCTGTTGCATTAAGAGCTGCTGGTTTTGACGTCACTGAAAAGGGATTTAGAATCCACTCATAGTTTTCTCGAATCGATTCTTGAACATCCTTTGGAAAGCATAAATTCAAATTTTGAAGTAAATTATTGAGGTGTTTTTTTAATTACTTTTAATATTGATTCATTTATTGTTAATTTGTTTTCTAGTAAAAAGTTTGAAGTCAATGAAAAACATGTCAGGTCTTTATTGTCGATGCTTTCAATGTAGAATGTTATTTTTTTTTAGCACAAAAATTTTGTCATTAGCATCAAATATTATCTTTTGTTTTCCTTGTATGGATGTGCTAAATTCATTCATTTTTAAAAAAATATCTGCCAAGTAACATAATTTGCATAGCCATTCCTGGTCATTTAAATAATCTGCTAGCAAACTATTATTGTCTTTCAAAATTGAAAAAACTTTCATTCGAAGTTCAAGTAAACGGGACAACGCTTTACCTTGCGACAACCACCATACTTCTGTGTGTAATAACAATGACTTGAATAAAGCTACCATATCTTCACATAGTATTTTCATCAGTCTACACTGCAAAGGTCGTGTCTTAACATGGTTAATAATTTTGACTGCGTTTCAAGTACTTGCTTTAATAACACTGGCATTTTTTTCGTTGCGAGGGAATATCAATGTAATACACAATGACTACTCGTGCATTTGGTGAAACTTTTTTGATTCTTGCAACAACGCCAGCAACATTACCCATCGTGACCTTTGTGCCATCTGTGCACACGTCAATGCAATTGTTCCATGGTATTGAGTTTTCAGTGAAAAAGCCATCAAGCATAGAAAAAATTTCACTTCCACTTATTGAGGATGAAAGTGGTTTGCAGAACAAAATATCTTCATGAAAACTACCAGAAAATTCGTACCGTACAAATGTCATTATCACAGCTAATCCGGCGACGTCCGTAGATTCATCAAGTTGTAACGAAAATTTTTTTTGACAGATACGAGAAATTATGGTGTTTTTAACATCGTGTTATAAATCCTGAATTCGACTACGCACAGTATTATTTGATAACGGTATACTTGAGATCAAATTCGCAGTTTTTTCATCAGACATACATTTCACTACTTTCACCAATAGTGGTTTTATAAGAGTTTCAGCGAGGGCGTGTGGTTTGCCAGTAAGAGCCAAACTAAGTACAATGCTTTCAGTTCTTTTTCAGAATATGTCTTTACATGAGATACAAACGTTTTCTGAGTTGCATAGAGTTCATCACTTTTTCATTTGAAATAGTCTGCAGTTTTATTTGTGAAGTCAGGATGAGTTTCAAAATGTCGTCTAAGCAATTATACACTGAAAAATCAAATTAATTAGTAATTACCTCGTATTAATGGAATAACTGTTGAGATAGTGGGATGTTCAGCAGAGAGCTCAACAGTTACTTTATCAAATGGCCTTAACAATGATACAATATCCTCATTTATACTCCATTCATCGGAACTTGGATGACATGGAGCATCTTTTAATGTTATCATTACAATAGTTATAGGTTCTTTTAGATTTATAAGCCTTTCCAACATGAAAAATGTGCTATTCCACCGAGTACATATATCTTGCTTTAATTTTAGCACTGTTTCAAAACCAAGCTGCTGTTGTTTATCCATCAACATTCTGTTAGCAACTTCACTCCTCTTAAAAAATCCAACAATGGCTCGACACTTCTTTATTAGATTTTTTAAATCATTTTCATTGACATTAGTACTTGGTCTAGTCTCTTCATTGTCAGACAACAGTAGAGACTGTTGAACCATCAAGTTGAGTTTATGTGCAGTACAAGGCACATGACTCAAATTCATAAGCCTAACTGCAGCTTTAATATTCGCTCCGCTATCGGTTACCACAGCAAAAATTTTATTTAAAATATTCCATTTGTTCAATTCCTCTGTCATGAGGTCACAAATATTAACAGCAGTATGGTTGCATTCCAATTTTTTGGTTCTATGCACCATTGCACCAAAGCTTTTAACTGCGTTTGGATGAGAAAATGAACAGTTATAGTTATATACGAGTTGGTGTTTATTGACGTCCAAAAATCAGTAGTGATCGCTACGTCTTTAGCATTATTGAGCATAGTTTCAACTTTATGTTGAACAACCAAATACATTTTTGGAATTACTGTTCTTCCAAGTGCTCGTCTACTAGGAATTTCATGTCTGAAATAAGTAAACAATAATTAAAAATAATAGGAAGATTGAAGTTTTTACTTATTATTTAATTATTACCTGGAGTCCAAGAGCTGGATCATATTGTGAAATCCTGAGTTTTCAACAATAGATAGTAGTTGTAGGTCTTCGGCTATCATTTTCACAATAGCTTCGTGAAATGCTGTCACTTGGCTTTCTGATGGTGTACCAAATCTTAAAAGAAATACAAATTGTGATATAGGTATCTATTGAGATAAAATACCAGACTTAAGAATTCAAAAACTATGAACTCTGTACTACTATACTCTGACTCATCATATAAGAGTAACCTCAGGCAATAAAACACTGCTAGGGGTATGGCTAAAACAAAGCAGGCATACAGGCAGTTGACAAAGTAGGTTGACAGACTGCTGCTCGACAAAAACTGGTCACTGCCTAAAGTTACTTTTATATGAGACAGAGTATAAAATGCTTAGTACATAAATACATGCTATCAATGAAATTGAAAATTTAAACATTATATGAAAAACTACTACAAAAATTAAATGTAATAACTTGCAATAATATTAATTACAAACTTAAAATTTTAACCATTGAAAAAGGTTTATGAAAAAACTAAGATAGTAGTTTTATAGGCCATGCACCCGGTTACTAAATAATTCGCGCTTAACTATACTAACACACCGACCGACCTTTGTAAATCTGTGTATATGTGTATAGCACTCAACAGGAAGTGGACAGGTTTGCCGAGCAAATCCTGTGAGTGCTAGTGTGTGGGTGGTGTGTATATGTGTGTGTATATATTAGGGTGGTCCTAGTCTATTAGGTATGAATTTCTAATTAGGTCTTTTCTTAAATTATACTTTTTAATAATATTTGAATACACTTAAAAACGATGTACAAAAAGTTCCATCTGAATTGAACAAGTTAAACCCGTGCCATAAACGAGTTGAAATTGTCTATATCTATTTTTTTATGAAAATAGCATATTTTTCTTAGATTTTAAACATAGTATATTAAATAATCATTCTATACAAAAAACGATAATACATAATTTGTTAATAAAAATATTTTATATTATTTATAATCTTAAACATATTTTCATAAACTTAATATTTATCTCGAAAACTATATTTAAAAAATAATAATTACACAAATCTAGCAAAAAAAAAAAAAAAAATTATTTATTTTATCGATAAGTAAATATTATTATTAGACTATTAGTAAAATATTTGTTGTTATAAAATTACGCTAAATATACCAGGACACCGATAATGAGACAATATTCATATAATTATTATTTCAACGGTATTTCCTAATCTATAGTTTGAACATTGAACAGACCGATAAGTAATATTGTGACCGTCTGTTAGTAACTATTAGAGTTGAACACTAGTCTACACTCTACAGTGCTATATCAGCGTATCACAAACCCGATTGACACTACATTTTAACTGTTTAATGTTAAATTATATTTAAATAAAGTAGGTATTTGTCATTTTTTTTTGTGTTTAAATTATTATAATGGCTTCACAAAAGAGTTAACGTAAAGATTCTTATACATTTTTAATTAGCTATACAGCAAATCAAATTGACGGTAGCAAATTACCATCTATAAGACAGGCGTTATCGGTTCTTTTTTACAAAATGCGTGAAGTTCGCCTTAATTTAAACGAAAGTGCGAAATTAGTAATAAAAGAGGTAAGTGTTTTTTGGAAAAAGGCACGTATACCGGTTAGTGTTAAACAATATTGTGCCATAAAACTTCAAAAATTATATAACGAATGGAGAAATTTGCAAAAGTTGCAGTATAGAAAAACAGACACACAACTTAAAAAAAATGAAAAATTTAGCATGATATTAGATGATTTATTTGACATTGCTCAAGCTGATTCTCTTTAAGTTATACAAATAAAAGAAGACAGAGATTTTCTAATATCACAGAGGCAAAAAGGTCGTCCTGGATCCATGTTGGGGATTGATATAAAAATAATTAATAAAGAAAAAAGAGCCGAGGAAAGATTAAAAATTGTTGAGGAAAGACGAAAAAGAACTTATGAAGATTCGGAGATCCGCGGTCAGTAAAATTATTACATAATTGTGAATATTATGTATTCATTTTTATTATTTGTATTTATTTTTTGTATATATTTTAGATACATTTGTGGAATTGAATACGTCATCAACCGATGAGTCTACTATGGAAGATGAAGAGTTTGACAAGCCTGGTCCATCTACAAAGTGCTTTAAACAATCAAATAGAGGAAATATTAATTTCATCGAAACTTGCATCTGCATTAGATAAATGCAAGCTTAGCGACAGAGATGCCGTTCACATTTTAATTTCAACAGCAGAAACATTAGGTGAGGATGTTAATAAGTTAATTATAAATAGAACATCAATTCGAAATACACGTTTACGTTTTCGAAAAGAGCGCGCAGAGAATATCCGTATAGAATATAAACTGTCAATCGATGATGCGGTTGTTCTTCATTGGGATGGAAAGCTATTACCTGCGTTAACAGGGCAAAAAAATGTTGATAGACTTCCCATCGTAGTTTCATGTAGTGGTTGTGATCAATTACTTGGAGTCCCAGCTCTTAATACTGGAACAGGGATTGATCAGGCAGATGCAATTTTTCATATGCTCAATGATTGGTGCATCACAGAAAATGTTCAAGCTTTTTGTTGTGATACTGCGGCTTCAAACACAGGCCGAAGGTTAGGTGCTTGTGTACTATTAGAAAATTACTTAGAGCGTAACATTTTATATTTACCATGTCGTCACCATATCTATGAGTTAGTGTGTTTTTGATACAAAACTATGCACGACATCTGGTCCAGATGTACCAATATTTAAAAGGTTTCAACTATATTGGGGAAATCTAAATACCAAAAAATTTGAACCTGGAACTATAAATGAGTTTATACAAAAAAATGTAAGTGATGTGCGTTCTGATGTAATTAATTTTGTAGTTGATTATTTATAAATTAAACAACCAAGGGAAGATTATAGAGAGTTGTTAGAATTGACAATTATTTTTCTTGGGGGGGGGGGGGGGTGCCCCCTCGAGGAATTTCTTTAAGAGTACCCGGAGCCATTCATCATGCCAGGTGGATGGCAAAAGCTATATACTGTTTGAAAATATTTTTATTCAGAAGTCAATTTCGTTTAACATAGAAAGAAGAAATGTCTATTGCCAGTATGTGTGTCTTCAATATTCGATTATACATAAAAGCCTGGTTTGTTGCACCTATGGCTTCGAAAGCACCTTACCAAGTTGTAAATTTTTTAAAAGATTTAATAAGATACCAGTCTATTGATAAAAGTATATCTGAAGTCACAATTAAAAAAATGTGTGGCCATTTGTGGTATCTATCACCCGAAGCAGCTGCGTTATCGTTTTTCGATCCACACGTACCAGTAGACACAAAAAGAAAAATGATTGCAGTTCTTAATCCTTTCACTACAAAATTAATTTTTTTGAAACAACAATTTTTCTTTGTTCAGATATGAAATGTATGGCCTTTTAATATGATATACCAATTTTTTTTTTTTTTTTTATTGCTAACAAGTTACAGGTATGTCTATTGGAATGGACATTGGGATTTATGGTATAAAATAATACAATAATAATGCTAAATGTAAAAAAAAACATAAAACTTTTATTAAAATTAATTACAATGAAAATCAAAAAAACAATTTTTTTTTGGTGTAAAACACAAATGAATCTTACATTTATTACATACAACATGTGTTTTACCTGTACATTTTTTATTTTTGCATCGTGTTGCTTCTTTTTTTATCATCATACCCTGGAAAATGTCCAAAAAGATCTTTGCTTACACCTTCCGTTGGTCGAAACTCCAATATTTTTGACGATATTTTAGCAGGTGTTGGTGAACAACTATCTGCAGATCTTGTACTACTGGATGGTGAAGATGTTGGACGACCCTTTTTTTTCCGGGGCTGAATCGTCCAACCATTACTAGCTCTTCAGCCAAAGTAGTTTTAAAATGCAACAAATGTTTTTGATCATTTTTTGATATTCCTATATTTTTTGCGTCTTGTTTATATTCGAGCCAAGAATTTGCCACAGCCATATCAAAAGCATGAGTTATCATACGCAGCGTCCATTTTTTAGATTTCATGTACACGCGATAATTACTTGGCAGTTGATCATGTTTGTTCACTCCCAACATGGATTTATTATATAGTTTGATAATTTCTGGTCTTTCGATGTAAATATATTGTTTGTTTTTTTTGTCCCAACGAGAAACAGTTTCCGGGTTTCCTGAATTAATGAAGTTAGATGCCATGGTTATTGCATTGTTATCGCACCATTTTAATAGTCCTACCCCTAATGTTGAAGTTACATCATAGGAAGTTCCTCTCCCCATTTTCATAATAACTTTATCGGATAAAACTGGTGGACTAAAAAATCGATTTATTCGAATTGTGCCTGCTGCATATATTTGACGTGCAGTGAGTGCATAAAATAAATTATACGAAGAAAAAGAATTATCGAAGAAAAGAAAATGTCGATTTGGCGTAAGATGTTTAGTGTGATCGAGGACAACTGCTCCACCTAGACCAAAATTTTTTTTGTAGATTCTTGTTAATATTAGTTGAAGCTCCTTGATAAAGAATCATGTTATAGACAATGCCACTTTGACCACAAAGTAAAAATATTTTAATGCCCCATGGATTCGGTTTCCCTTTCATATATTGTTTTACAACCAATTGGCCTTTAAAAGGAACTATTTGTTCATCAACACTAAGGTTTCTTTCTACTGGTAATTGTCTACATCGATTATTTAAAGCATCAAATAATGGACGAATTTTCACAAATTTATCGGTATTATTACAAGGAGTATCCATGTTGTTAATGATATGAATATTTTGTCGAATAGAATAAAATCTATTTCTGGCCATTGTATCAGCAATTAAATTCACACGAAATTTTTGTTCCCAGTACATCCCGATCCTTGGGTACTTCAAAACACCCATCATCATTTGTATTGCAATAAATGATCTTATTTCCAAAGGTGATGTAGATTTAAAAGAAAAGTCATTATTTGAACTGCATATAAATTTGTATGAAATGATATGTCTTCGAATATTTTTTGGTTAAAATATTTAGTGAAATATTCGTACGGTTGTGGTATAGTGGAGGGACAATCTATTGGTTCTAAATCTGTTAGATTTATATACGGCTCTTGAAATGGTTTATTTACCCATTTGATATCTTTTTTTTGGACAAATGGAAACTGCACTGGTGTTATATCAAAGACTTCATTTCCAAACTGTTGAGTTGCATTTGTTGTTTGGTCGTCTTCTTCGGGTAAGTCTTTTTCTATATTAGCCAGCATTTCATTATCGAATTCGGCAGAGAAATCATCATTCGCAAATTTATTTAATAAATTTTCGAGTTCATTCTCTGACTCACTATTTAATATATCTATATCACTAACTGTTCCGTCATCTAAAAAGCTCAGAATTTGTTTTTCGTTTAACGTCATAGTATATAAAAACTTGAAATAATAATAAAAAAACGTGACATGCGAGCGAATACAGGCGGTACTGATACAGAATATCAACTAAACACAAATTTTTTTTATATTATTACGATAATTACGTCATACGATAATGATGACAATACCACAAAGATCAAATTCTAAAAAAAACTTTAACCGTTATAAACTATAATTGTAATTTACCCGATATTCCTAGTTCGTGTCCAGACACCGTAGTGGTCACACGTATATTCCGCGAAACGTATCGATAGCTCTCGATAGCTGTGAGTTAAATAGCAATTAAGACAAGAAATCATTATTTGGTATGTATACCTTTTATATCTATGTACAAAGTCCACCAACATAAATACCGTGTCGTGAACTAAACCCGCGCCTACGGGCGATTAGCCCGCTATCGCTCATACACTAATAGCCATACAGTACATACACCGATTAAAATGAGTTCTACATCAAATCCAACAAAACAAAAAACTACACGCACACATTCTAGTAATGAGCGCAGAATCCCACCAATCATCATAAAAAAAATTAAAAAAAAACGAAGACAACGATGATCTTGACCGACACCCAACTCCCAACTCCGATGACGATTTTAGATCTCCCAGAAGAACGTCAAAAGTATTCGACTCGCCAACCAAAAATTCATTCACCACACCAAATCGTTATCCCATACTAGATAACACTAAAACCAATGATCATGAAATGTTTACCTTCAACGACGACGCACTTCATATCGCTCAAACTGATAATCAAAACAATCACTCAATACACTCCGAAACGATCGATGATACTCTCAAAATTCCCCCACTATTCATATTAAACATAACACAATATTCTCAATTTCGCAACGAAATATCGAAAATCATTAGTAATGAATTTATTGTCACATCTAAATTTGACAGAATAAAAGTGAACCTAGAAACCGTAGATGACTTCCGTGCTCTAACCAAATATCTTGACGAAAAAAAATATGAATATTATACCTATAGATTGAAAACTGAGAAAGATATCTCCGCAATCATAAGAAATTTGCCAATGTCAATAACCGAATTTGAAGTAATGGAAGAATTAAAAATCCTAGAATATCCAGTAAAATCAGTAACCAGACTTACCAACAAATATAAAACCCCAACCCCACTAATGGCAGTTCAACTGACTAATCATCATAAATCACAAGACATTTTCAAAATCAACAAGCTTCTAAATTGCATAGTCATAACCGAACCACGTCGGAAATCGAAAAATCCTCCCCAATGTACAAATTGCCAAAGATTCGGACACCTACACATGTCCTGTAAACTTCAACCACGATGTGTGAAATGTAATCTCTCACATCATTATTCAAACTGTGATAAAACATCAGAAACTCCACCTAACTGTGTAAATTTTAATGGAGCTCATCCGGAAAATTATAAGGGTTGCACCTATTTTAAAAATATTAAAAATAAAAAAATGAACTACATCAAAAAACCTCAATTAATCGAAAATGTTCCACCAAAAGACTCAAAAATTAATGAAATCGCCAATAATCTCACAAAAAATACAATAAATCTGAACTCCTACGCAAATATACTCAAAGGAAATACAAATCCTACCCAAAATACTGGTAAAAACGAGGAACATACATACTCCGAATCGCTAAACGAAAACCTCCAAAAAACAATAACCCAATTTATTGAAAACATTCTACTTAACATACAGTCCATCATTAGTTCCATCTTCAACTCAATTTCAAACAATCTATCTTTATCCGGTTTAAATGACATCCATTAATTTAAAAGAAATCAAACTCGTTAACTGGAATGCAAATGGCATTAAATCCAAAAAATCTTCACTTATGGAATTTCTATCCCGCCACAAGATAGACATAGCATGCATAACAGAAACTCATCTCAAAAACACAGAAACATTCAAGATCAACGGTTATAATATATACAGAAAGGATAGAGACACCATCCACTCATCAGGAGGAGTAGCAATCCTAATAAAAAGAACTATTAAACATCACCAGCTAACCAATCCCGAACTGATCAATATTGAAGCAATCTCCATAATGGTTTCAACAGATAAATCTGAAATTAAAATAATATCTGCCTACAATCCGCCAAAAAAAAAAATTCAAAGAGATGACATAAATGTACTTTTCAATGAAAACCCAACCATACTCCTAGGAGATTTAAACTCCAAAAATGAAATATGGGGTTGCCTAAAAACAAACCCAAATGGTAATAAACTATTCCAATTCACATCTGAATTGAGAATTATAATATCACCACCTTCCAAACCCACCTTCCACAGAACAGGTAGACAACCAGATATATTAGACATCGCTCTAGTCTCAAATCTCACAACACAGTTATATCACCAAGTTGCGAATGAACTAGATTCGGATCACGTACCAGTCATCACCACTTTGTACGAACAAATGGAATTAACTCCTCAAACCCCAAAACTAATAAACCGGCCAATAAACTGGGACATTTTCAGAGAAAATCTCAACAAAAACCTTATTTTAAACAGATCTCATCAAAATAACAATGAAATAGACATTAATATACAACACTTAACAGAATCAATTAAAAATGCAATCAAATCAGCTTTGGCACCTGAAAATCCAAATAAGAGTAAATCACGAGAAAACTCCTCTCTACCGCTCCACATTCAACACCTAATAAAAGAAAAACACAAAGCCAGAAGAATATGGCAAAGAACGAGAACAATAGAAATTAAAAAACGATTAAACCAATTAACACGAAGAGTCTAATGGGAAATTGATAACAATAGATTTAAATCCTACAAAACATATCTATCAAAACTGAATCCAAATGACGCCAGCCTATGGACCGCCACAAAAAGAATACTCAAACAAAGAGACACTATTCCTCCCCTTAAAGTTGGACTAGCAAAATTCGAAACAAATAACGACAAATGCAAAATTTTTGCCCAGCACTTTGAAAATTGTTTTACAACTGAGGCTACTACCAAAGATATAACACAGGAAATAGACTCTCCAAATATTTATTCCACAGAAACAAATACTATCCAGCCATGCAGTACTCAGGAAATAAAACAGATAATAGACAGACTTGCAAATAAAAAAAGTCCCGGACACTACCTTATTACCAATAAAATTCTCAAAAACCTTACCCCAAAAGCACTTGCGTTCTTAGCCAGTCTTTTAAACTCCATTTTAAGAATAGGATATTTTCCAAACACCTGGAAACAAGCAATTATCATTCCTATACACAAACCTGGGAAACCAAACAGTTTACCGGAAAGTTACAGATCAATTAGTCTGCTACCTACCCTCTCCAAACTATTAGAAAGGATAATGCTGCACAGAATGAAACCATACCTAAAAATTATTCCACATCACCAATTCGGCTTCAAATCTCACCACTCCACATGTCATCAACTTCAGCGAATTTCAGAAATAATAGTAGATGGATTTGAAAATAAAAAATACACAACCACTGCCTTTCTTGATGTCGCACAGGCCTTCGACAAGGTCTGGCACCAAGGTCTTATGTCCAAATTAAGAAAACTAAAACTGCCAACCTATCTATATAATATAATAACCTCATTTATCACAAATCGCACGTTCAAAGTAAGGATAGATACTGTTACCTCTGAAGAACATCCAATAAAAGCAGGAGTCCCACAGGGGTCGGTTCTTGGGCCCACCTTGTTTAATATTTTTTGCTACGATATCCCAGTCCCACAAAAATGCCAATTAGCAATGTACGCTGATGATACTGTTATCTTAACACAACATAAAAATCTTGAAAATTCAATAACAGATCTACAAATTTCTTTAGATCAAATCTCAGACTGGTTTACAAGATGGAAACTCGCTCTTAACCCAACTAAGAGCGAAGCTAAAATATTTAGCCTAAAAAGATACTCAGATCCAACCCAATTAAAAATCAAAAACTAGCCTATATTATGGAATAATAAGGATCAATCTATTAAATATCTTGGAGTACACCTTGATGAAAAATTAACATGGAAAATGCATATAAATAAAAAATTAAACCAAGCCTATACACATTTGAAAATCTTATACCCCCTAATAAATTACAGCTCAACACTTCAAATTAAATGCTCACTTCTAATATACACATCAATAATAAGACCACTAATTACATATGCATGCCCAATATGGGCAGCCGCATCCCAAACAAAAATTAAAAAATTACAAACGATACAAAATAAATTTCTCAGAATAGCTCTTAAAGCCCCATGGTTCATGCGAAACACACAACTCCATAATGACACTGGAATACCGTACATAAACACATGGATAATTGAATAATTTAAAAATTTTCATACGAAACTTAAAACAACAGAAGGCGCCCTTCACTTCAAAATTGGGAAAAAAACTAAAAACCGTAGACTAAAGCCACGGCTACCTCAAGATATCTTGCTACCTCCAGAATCATCTTCATCATCTTCATCATTGGTTTCATCAGAACAATACTAAACAACTAATCAACTCATAAGTTAAATTAATTTAAAAAAAAAAAAATGTACAAATTGTATTACGCTAGATATATAAGAAATGTATGAATAATGTAAATGTATAAAAAAAAAAAAAACCCGATATTCCCACTATCCATTTCAATGGACATACATTTTATCATGTATTACTTGTGGTGTATGATACCAAGGTAGGATTAATCAACAACATTTTATCATTCGAGATACCTTTTACCAAAAAAAAAATATTCAGTGTTACCAACACTTATATTTCAGTGAATAAGTTAAAATATATTTCAGTTTTTGATAACACAAAAGTATACAACATTTTTTTTTTGTATTATCATTTTTTCACGAAAAACGATCTTAGTTAGAAGTCTAAAAATATTTTTATTTTAATTAACACTAGTTTTAGATAAATATACATACGTAATTTAATTAGTTTGGGTACGTAGTAAATTGTAGAAAATAAAATAAAGTCATGTCCATTGCAATGGACAATGGTA